CATATGTCTAAGCAAGAATTCTTCTTTATATACATCTTTATCCAAATACATTTGAGCCATTTAGGCCCTGTATTCTGTCGTGATCATGCCATGTCAGAACATAGATGAACATATTTATGTCTTTCTACAGTGTCAAATTTTATTGAATAACAAATTCACAAGCTGTGGAGGTTTCAGTGGCAGCAATTTGATGGCCTACCACTTGGCTTGATGTCCCTAACTGAGGAAAGCACACAGGTCTTTTTTGTTTTGTTTTACTGAACTTTTGCGATTTTCATACATTATTTGATAGCATTTAGATTACCTCTCCTACCAGCACAATCCCTTTATTGTCCCCCATTTAACATAATCTAATATATATATACCATCCATCCATGTATCTATATGTATATATATATATATATATATATATATATATATATATGGTGTATAAAGTCTGTGTTCCCAAATGTCCTTCAGTGTCAGTCCATCCACTGGAGCCTGGTAACCAAGCCTCTCTCCCTCCCAGCAGCCATTGGCTACCAAAATTTCCTTAGGTTGGGTTGGAATTTCTTACCCACTTCACCATGTTTATGCTGGGATTTTGTCTGGTTTGAGCTTACATGGGACTTGTGCATGCTGTCACTATTGCTCTGAGTTCATATGAGAAATTGACTAGCTGTCTGTAAAACAGTTTCTTTGTGGTTATTCACCACCACTGGCTCTTACAATCTTTCCATCCCCTTTCACAATGTTCCCTGAGCCTTGGGAGACAGAAATTTAATACAGGTGTCCTCTTCAGGGATAAGCACTCTGTGGCCTCTTGTTCTCTGCACATTGGCCAGTTGTGGGTTTCACACCCATCCTTTTATTCCAGTCATAAATGCTAATATTAATTCTAAGATCACACATTACATATCACACAGTAAATGGAGATACACAGATAAATAGGTATGTGTGTAGGTTATAGAACAGCTACAAAGGGTTAAAGAGGCAAAGAGGTCTCAGAGGCCAAAGCTGGAAGAAAGGTAGTCTGTGGGGGTGAGACAGTCAACCAGCTGGGGGTCTCTGGAAATGCAGGTCACTGGCTAGGGCAGAGCTGAAGAATGGAGTTCAGCTACAGAGGCAAAAGTACAGGACCTGGCCTGGCCCAGACAGTCAAAAAGCTGAATGACAGGTCTAAATAGGCAAACAGGAAGACCAACAGATGACAATTCATGTAGGTCCTGTCAACAGCACATGAAGCTAACCTACAGTGCCTGTGTCCATCAGAAGTTCTGTCAGTCACTATTACAGAGAGGTCTCCAGTTTCTTCTTCTCAACCCCAGCAGCAGATTCAGAGAAAACTTCAGATGGGCACAGTACTAGATCAGGCAGTCAGGAGTTTAACTGAAGCACTCAAGGAAGCAAGAACAGACTCCAGAAAAAGAAAGCCAAGTCAAGGGCTGGGCATGGTGGCTCACACCTTTAATCCCAGCACTTGGTAGGCAGAGGCAGGTGGATCTCTGTGAGCCAGCCTGGTCTACAGAGTGAGTTCCAGGCCAGCTGGGACTATAGGGAGACCCTGTCTCAAAAAGACCAAAAAAAAAGAGCCAAGTCAGTTAAGTAGCAACAGCACCAGTCTGGGAGGGTGTGGGGCTTATATCTCTTCTCTCTGTTCTCCCTGTGCCTTCCCCAGGGTAGACAGTCCTAGGAAAGGAACATGTAACTCTCAGGAGCCTCTTTTACTTAGAATTCCGTATGTTACAATTATAAATGGAAGAATATGTGTAGGGGCATAAAGTTAAAACGTTTACTAGGGCAAAGGATAGCGGCACTTTTCCCTAGCAAGGAGATCCTGAAGCTAGAGAGACCACTGCTACCTGCTTTACATTTTGATTTTGGACCCTGAGATGATTTATCTGGAGTCGATTCCAGTCTGTCTTTATATCTTGACCACCAACTAATCTCTTACCTAATAAGGGAATAGGTCGATGCGGGGGAGGGGCATCAACATCAACAAGGGGTGCTGGTGTTCACCCCCTTTTTGAGGCCCAGGCAAAAAGAGTTAAACCCTTCCCTTGGTCTGATGAATTGGATAACTTCTTGGGTCTGGTTTTCTGATATATTTTAATATGCCATGTGGCATTACAGTCCCAATTCACCCCAAGAATAAGTGATTTATCAGTCTGTGCTCCATGGGTGGTGCTGGACAGGTGGTAGCATTTACATGTCCACCCAGGATCACAGCCACCAAAGTGAAGTCAAAAGCTACTTGTACAATGGAGTCTCTCGGGACAGGGCATAGTCTCAAAAACCACGGTCTTCCGCAATATGGAAACTTAGAGCGGGCCACAGCCTGATCTCAACACTGTTAGGTTTTAGAGAGGGAGAAGGGAGAGTCAAGAAAGACACTGTGAGAAATTCAATCTTTTCTTTCAAAAACATCTGCAAACTGTATGTTGTCTTTGTTTTCAGTACCCTTGGTATATGACTAATTACCTGATGTTGTTTCTTAACATGTCAGCTGTAACTGTAGCATTCATTTCCCGGCTCTCCTTTGTAGCTACATCGTGGGAAAGCTTCAGTCTTGTCATCCACAAACCTCCTTCCTTCTTTTGTGACTTTTAGACTGTGGCTACATGCCAAAGCCCCACACTCCCAAAAGTCAAGAAATATTTTTACTAAGGTGCCTCCTTCCTCTTTTCCAACTAACCAGTCCATTTTAGGTTGTGCAGCTGAACCTTGACCTATGATAAGGAATATCCAAGCTATTAAGGCAGGGATGAAGGGAAAGGCCATCTTAACAATGTGTGCTTGTTCCTCTGTTCTTGTGAGATTTGTACCCTTCTGATCAGAAGTAAAGTTTGCCTCACAGACAGGTTTTCAATTGGCGTTGAGTCTTCTTTGTGGACCAGAATTTATTTCTAACAGCACTGAGTCAAATCATGTTGCGGAACAATTTCCTCCAAGATAAAGCATTCCATCTTGGAGCAGAAGCTCATTAAGACACAAGAGGTAAACAAGTCAAAGGCTTCAGGAAGTTCCTGAAATGGACAAGATTCTCCAGGCCTTCCTCTCCAATAGTATGTAAATAGTAAGGGCTGCTGAGACTCTCCAGCTAGCCAGGCTGCTGAGAAGCAGCCAAGACCAGCTGAACTGCCTGGAAGAGGTTCAGGCCAATGGAGCTGCCAGAAAAGACACTCCACCCTTTCCAGGTGCATGCAAGCTGTGCACAGCACTCTAGATCTCCTGCTTGCATGAGCTGGACGTGCATGCTGATGGGGGCTTTTGATGATGCAGCTGTCTAGAGTCACTTCTGCTCCTTTAAGTAACCCCTCACCCAGATTCCTGTAAGCCCCAATAAAACACCTTGATTCACCAAGCTGTACTGCAGCAGTTATCCTTATGTTGACTGGTCTGTTGCTGGCTCCACACCTGGAATAGTGCCATCTCAGGCGAGAGTGCTAACTCTGGCAACAGCCAGTATGGGAAACTGAGGGAGAGCAGGACAAAGCAGGGTGGGTACTCTTCAAGGTTTCTCAGGGAAGGGGAGGTCTCACACTACAGGGAAGCAGATTCAAGATGTGACCTGTGCTGTGTGAATGTGGTTGTTTATGGTCAATTTGACACAGTGACTGAGAAATAGCAGGGGGCACATGTGACTATGTGACAGGGGTCACTCTTTCTCTGGAAGAGTAGTGGGTTAATGTGTGAGGGTAGTCAGGCTGCCTCCAACCCTGGATAGTAGGGGTTTTGCTGAGACTGGGTGGATTCCTGCCCTGTCCTGTAAGGACCCCAGATAGCTAAAGTAACTTCATTTTGTATAAAGCAGCCATTTCAAATGCTAGAAAAATGGCCAGCTTCAAGGTCAAGCACCTGAACTTAGTTGCTTCCCCTTAGAAGAGTGCTTTCTTTGGAGTAGCTAACCTTGGTCACCTTCCTAGCCAAGAGGCCTAAATAACAATAGTAATCAGAAAGTTCCTCACTGCCAAGGTCTCTATACATCTGTGAAGAGAACTAACAAAGCTTGTTTTGGCTTCTGTAGTTTGCTTATCTGCTAACTTGGGCTGTCCTGATCCTACTCAGGACCACCTGGCATTACTCATGTGTGATGAAATTCTCATAGTATTTGTAGGTTTTGCCTTTATAAGTTAGTTTCACCCTCTCCTCAGGGCCGTGGGTCCTGACTATGGGACCACAGAAGGCTATAGCCCTAACAAATCTGACCAATTAAAATATGAATTGGGTCTGACGGTCTTTTTCGTCTTAACAGTCCCAGCACTCTGCTTAGGGCCTGGTTACCAGGATGGGCTGAGTTCTGTAACAAGCACCTTCCAAAGAAGCATTGGATTGTTTTATTGATTTGCATACTAGGTACTTGTCTCTGGTTGGCTGTATATATTTCATGTTTTCTCTCCCACTTGTTAACTATGTCTCTCTTGTCTTTTTAATTAGAAATTTTCTTTTGGGGGCTGAGGGCAAAGCTCAGTGGCAGAGCTACATGCCTAGTACTCATGAAGCCCAAGGTTCCATCCCCAAAGCAAAAATAAAAAACCTTTAACTTTGATACAATCATGTTCACCAATTTTCCTATTTATGCTTTGAGGTCAGGGGCCTTCGTAAAAGGCACAAATATCTTTTATTAACTTTAGACTTTTGCCTTTTTAAAAATTATGTGTATGAGTATATTGCCTTGCTGGAAGAAGTATGTTCATGGGGACAGACTCTTGAGAATTCACAGCTTTGTTCCACTTAAAAAGTTTTTCTCTCCCCATCTCTATCTCAAATTATATAAGCTCCAGCATCTAACATAGTCTAAGATGGCTTAATAAGAGTTAATTCTGCTTAATATAAGAATGAAACAGCTCCCAACTCAGTGGAACATGAACGGAGGTCTGTGTTTTTAACCCCTCCACTTGCCCAAAAGAATCATTTCAGCTTAAGTAGAATAAACTTATTTTTCAATTTCTTTACCACATAAAAGTTGCATGAGCCCAAACTAACAAAATATCATAAATATAGAAACAAGAACACACAAGTATTTTAGGCCTTTTATTTTAATAAATAACTTCAGTAAATAGCGTTGTAAAAAGTGAACTGTCAAAATTAAAAGGCACTTAAAACAAGATTGTGACTAGTGAGACAGAGCGAGCACAGGCGCACGGAGACGATGCACAGTGGTTGAGGTGCTGCTGGGGGAGCACTGCCCAGGCACTGCTGAGGGAGCACTACTCAGGAGCTGTAGGCACACAGCCACAGGACAGCTCATGACGACTTTGAGTGTTTGTGAAAAAGGCAAATGTACAACCAAAATGTTAAAGAAAAAGTATTGATAAAAAGTCTTACCCACAAATTGCAAACACACATTAAAGGATTAGAGGAGGCAATAAAGAGCACCAGGAAGTAAACAAAAATAAAGTAAAACAAACTCAACTCAAAAGGTCCGCATTTAGCAAAGGCTATGAAAATTATGGCCTTTGTGTGAATAGTGCTAAATCGGGAGTCTTTATCCAAGCCTGGATCTATGAAGAGAAGGCAGAGAAGTTACCAAAGTGAAGTAACTCTCACGATGGCACACAGGTTTAAAGCTAAATTTTTCCTTCCTAACTCAATGAATTTTCTCACGGCCTTTGTAAACCAACTGTGTCAAAATTATTTTAATTGGAAACTGTCAACATGCCTGTCTTTCAGATATGTCATCAGTCATACCCAGTGGGCAGATAGCAAGATCACAGGTTTAAACAACCCTTGCCCAGCCAGCAGGACTGTACTCTCTGCATAAGAGCTAAGAATCGGTCGTAATGCATTCTCCTCAAGCCACTGCTTCAGCCCTCGCCCGGAGATCGCCCTGGCATTGTCGCTGGATGTGATGCATAAGAGTTAGATTCCGATGGTCCAGAAGGAAAGGTCAAAAAGGCACACTGTGACCTCAGCTGACAAGGATAAAAATCCTGTCTCAAGTCTTCTGTCAGTCCCTGGCATGGATTAGAACATTATCTTCAAAATAATAAAAAATAAAAAATTATACATATTGTACATTTTCAAACCCTGCAGGTGAACAAACCCGTGGCCACAGAGCCCGGAAGCTACCCTACTGTGACTAAGACAATGCTGCAGTGCAGTGAGCTCGGTGTTGAGAGAGCTGCCCACAGGACTCATTTTCCCTCATACTTCGGATTGACCACAGTTGTCACGGCACTCTTGTAAATAGGATTTTCACCCTAAAAAAGAAAAATTACCAGTTACTGTCTAAAATCACAGTGGTTAAAAACAAGATTAAAAGCTGTGACTGTTTCAATAAGTCCCTTCCAATGTCCAGATCTCACAGTGTGAGGAAGACAGAGAGGAAAACAAGCTTTGCTCAGACTGCAGGCCATCCTCCCTGGAGGGCTGCCTCAGGAAGGGCCTCCACAGCAGGGCCTGCACTGCCACCCTCATGAGGCATTTCTGAAGGCTTGGCTCAAGGAAGCACTGACCACCTGACTCACAGGCCCCAGTGCATAGGGGTGTTTGATAAAGAAAAGAGATGGCTGGCATGGTCCCCATTGAAGGAGCTGTGCTCCTAGGCTGTTCTTTAGAAGTGACTGATTTGGAGTTCCAGGTATGCTGCTGTCACCCACGGAAGGTGCTTAGAAGCCTAAAGGTGCTATTTTATCGCAGCTCCACCCTTTAGTAAGGAGTGCTGTGAGTGCAGCAAAAGACTCCAAGCCACAAACATCTTTCAAGATCCCAAAATATACATGGTGCTTTAAAAGCAGAAAAGTAACATACAGTTACTATAATGCAATCACAACTCTGTACGTGACAAGGTTACAGTATGATGGATGAAGACATGAAATGAGGCACTGACCGTCCCAAACAGAATTCTATATGTAACATAGGAACAGAAACTAGAAAAAAAAAGGGATTTAGCCTGAGAAGCTCCAGGAGGACACTTCCATAGTGAAACTGTTAACAAATAAATGATTGAAGAGCAAATAGGAATATATACAAAGTCAAGGTGTACGAAACAGAGACAAGAAGCAAAGGCAGTGCTGGCCTATCCCCCAGGGCCAGGCCACCAGCTTGAAGGGCATCAGCAGGTGTGCAAAATTAGAATAGGACTACACACCTGGATCCCTGATGGCTAATCTCAACTGTCAACTTGATGAGATCTAGAATCACCTGGGAGGTAGGCCTCTGAGCATGTCTACGGGGGATTACCTTGACTGGGTGAATTGAGATAGGAAGACCGCCCACTGTGGGCGGCACCATTCCCTGAGCAACAATATAAAAATGAGAAATTGAGCTAAGTACCAGCACTCACTGCTCTCTGCGTCCTAACTCAGATGCAGTGTGACCAGTTCCCCGAGATCCTGCTGGGATGACTTCACCATAACAGACTATAACTTCAAGCTAAGCCAGAGTTAAACCCTTTCTCTCTGGAGTGCTTCTATCAGAGTATTTAATCACAGCTGCAGGAAAAGTAACTAATTCAGGATTACTCAAGCAAATATCCTATAATGTCAACAAAATTGTTCAGAATCTTGAATTTTCAACTCCCTGGCCAACTGGAGCTAATATATTATTACACAGACTTTACAGTTGGGAATCCAGGCCCCAGCGCTGCCTCTTAGAAAGTCAGTTTCCATCTCCTATCTAGGATACTAGGATTGTCCATGCTTTCAAATACGCTGGGCTTTGTCTTTAATGCACTGAACAAATCTAATAGTACTTAAGAATTATAAGGGACCAACAAAACTGAAAGCAAAATATAAGAAAAGCTCAATATTACCAGGGAGTCTATAGAAAAACTTACCTTGGAGAAGTTTGCTTTGCCACAGACACAAACATTTACTTTTATTATTTCAAAGTCCAATCAGACAAAAGTTTAACATGCAAGGTTAGAGGTAAAATTACTCACTAGGTGTACTGAACATCAATTTAAATGGAGGTAAACTAAAGTAATTCAGATTAGTCTCACCACTCTAGGTGCAGCCCCACCTGCAGGAAGCCAGAAATGGTTCGCATCTGCAGAGCAGGACGAAGTCTATCCTCTTTGCCTACTCTCAACCACCCTACAGTGGTGGCCACAGAACTGCTTCTGTATTACAATATGTGAATTGTGCAATGCAGACTGGGAAATTTGGAGTCCACATTTAAATTTGTGTAACAGGAGAGGACAGACTTTGCCATAGCCTGTTAATTTTTTTCAATGTTTCAACATAGCTGTCTTATATGCTCAAATAATTACAGTATCTGCTAATGGTGTAACTAATTTGCAGGAAGCCTTGGTCTCATATCACACATGTGTTTTACAAGCTATAAATGGTTCTGATTTATTTATGCTCTTCTATTTTATTTATTTATTTATTTATTTATATATATGTTTTATATATGTGCATATATATAATATATATATATGTATGTGTGTGTATGAGTGTTTGCCTGCATGTATGTAAGTACACCCATGTCATGCAATGCCCAAAGAGGACAGAGAGGGTGTCAGATACCCTGGAACTTGGGAGTTTTTATGGACGGTTGTTAACTGCCATGTGAGTGCTGGGACCTGAACCTGGGTCTTCTGTAAGAAACAACCAGTGCTCTTAACCTCTGAGCCATCTTTCCAGCCCCCAATTCTATAATTTTTATTGAGAAAACATTTCTTATGATAACCTATAGTCACAAATTTTCCTAGCTTTCACTAAAACACAAATTTTTAACAAACATTTGCTTATTGAATTGTATGAAATGCTTATTTTGGCTGATGATGGAACACTGCAGCTAAAAATTAAATCAAGAATATAAATATTAAGTACAAATAATAATTATTATTTGTTCCAAAGTGCCATTAAATGTATAGGAAAGATAAATATTTCACCTCAGTAAAGTAGTGGGAGTTTCTGTTATGAGAAATAACTATATGAAATTGTTAGTATCTGACTGCTTCCAACCTACAAAGAAAACTTAAATTAAAAAAAAAAAATCCCAGTAAATGCCAGGCGTGGTGGCACATGCCTGTAATTCCAGTACCCGGGAGGCAGAGACAGGTGGATCTCTGTGAGTTCCAGGCCAGCTGGGGCTACAGGGAGATCCTGTCTCAAAAAGACCAAAAAACCAAAACCAATAAACAAATCCCAGTATTTTGTTTTCCTATAAAAACTGCTTTCTGTAAAGCATCAGGTGAAAGAACACATCAAGTTTGAAGCACATAAAAATGTATCAGCTGTCCCTAGACAAACCCAACAAGATTTTTCTACCAACAAACTAAAACCTTAAATAAAATCTTAGCAGTAAAAAAGATCTGGTAAGCCATGACTTCTAGTATTATTGGTACTTCCTGTGTCCCTTAAAAGTACTCAACATTCCCACAGTTGGGGCTTTCAGTCAGTCCATTTACACCATACCAGGCAAGGACTGTACCACTAAGTTACATCCTCCATCCCTTTGTTCCTCAAGTCCTTTGTAAATTCATTCCCAACAGAGTGATCGTGGCCACAGAATTCTTTACAAAGTGATGCTCCCATTATGATTATGCCCACACAGCAGTATTACCTCAAGTCACAACACACTGTCAAAATGGACAACTCTGTGTACAGTGTTCCATTCTTCCTAAGCTGGTAGGTCTCCCAAAGAGTGGGACTGCTAATCTGCTACCCAGTACAGAGGAGAGGACAGGACCCTGGGCCCTGGAGTCCAACTGCCTAGGCTTGACTCTCACTTCTCCCACTAACTGGCTGTGTGAGCATGGCTTCTCTACCTCAGTCTTCTCAAGTGATATAAGTATAAAGACAGTTCCTATTAGTCAAATGACTAACAATATAAAGTACTGAGAACCATGCTTGAAGCATAGGAGGATCATGTGGTATTAGCAATTACCATCAACAGCTTCTCTACAGAATTTGGCAAAGTGAAGGAGCTAAGAGCTGAATCCTCCCAGGCTCTAGCCAATCCACTGGGGAAAGAATTTGGTGCCAAGAATAATAGCCTTAAAAATGTTTACATGCTTGATTTAGCTTACAAACACATTAATATACGATAGAAAATTCAGATATGAGCAATTTGAACCTATTTAAGGGATAATTCTGTCTACTACTGATAGGTACCAAAGTTACCCAGGCTTGGTAAGTAGGATAAACAAGCTTTGCCCCAACTGAAAATTTTCAACTGAGGTTTTATTTTAAACTCTAGTAATATTTTATTCAAAGTTCTTGCTATAGCTGAGCATGGTGGCACACGCCTTTAATCCCAGCACTCAAGAAGCAGAAGCAGGTGGATCTCTGTGAGCTCGAGGTTTGCCTGGTCTACAAAGCAAGTTCCAGGGTAGCCAGGGCTACATAGCGAGACCCTGCTCAAGCAAAATAAACAATAAAAAGTCCCTGTCACATTAAAATTTTTTTCTATTTCAGACTTGAAAGAACCATTAACAATAAGAAATGCATACATCTTCTGGTTAAGTGAAATTTCAACCTATAATCAAGAACTAAAAAGTCTCAAAATCTTTCTATATGAATAACTTGAAATAGTAATTGTGAACAACACAAGCATTTATACTATGGCCATTTACTTAGTTTCTACTATTTCGGCTTCATAATTTCACTACTCCACCCTGGAGGTAATTCATTACATAACATCACCTCCCGTACAGGATTCAGTAGACTGTGGTTCACATGCTACACACAGCCACCCTATGTGACAGTTAACACCCTTCCTGCTGAGGACATGAAAACTAGGGTCTCAGAGAGGTGATGCAGTGCCGACTGTTCTACCCACTAAGGTGAGGCGCTCTGACTAGGTCTACCTGGCTGCAAAGTGCTCGCTTCTCCCCCCACACAGCTGCTGCGTCTATCCTTTATCATTTTCTGTAGTGTTTCTAAGCACAAGGTTAACACACAAGAGAAGCCACAAGAGAGCCATATAAATAAAGCCAGACTAAAAACAGCAGTAGTGAGAGATACACATGGTGCAGTGAAAAAAGAAAGCTCACATGCAAAGACATAAAGTGAAACGAAATACGAACGGCAATTCAGAGACCAGCTTTACGTCCATAGTTTGGGTTCTTGAAATTATTAATAGGACTCTTGTAAATCGGATTTTCTTGCTAAAGTAAAAGAAACAGTTTCTAGTGATTTCATCAGAAAGAAAATCAACATGCATAGTGTATAAGAAGCATTATAAAACAAAATTCTAATACTATACTTCTGAGATTCCTAATTTTTTAAAAATCCAACCAAACTAGTAAAAGGCAAATGACTAAAATTTATTTACAATTTAAGAATACTGAAGACTGTCAACTGCTTTCTTGTGTCAAAAGATAAATATAGGAGGGCCAGTGTTTAACCAGTCACTCAACTCCGTCCTGAAAACACTAAACCAGCAGAAGCTAGTCAAAGTCTATGTTTACCCTATGTTCATATAGCTTTTCTATAAAGAAAGGTTTACAGAGATACAATCTGAACATAGTAAAATACATCATAAGTTCAGTTCCGATATTTCTAAATCACAAACACACCTACCACAGAGCTCATTCCAAGGTCCCCTGTACTGGTCATCCCTTCCCTCACTCCAGCCCCAGCAACCACTGACTTATTTCTGCCCTTAGAGTTGTGTGTTTCCCAGAATGCCAAATGAAGAGAATCACAGTGGATGGATACAGTCTGGAGGAGATAGCCAGAAACACTGGAGCTGCCATTTAAGATCCTGTTTTACATTAGACAAAAGGGCAGGAGCAGATTCAGAAAGAGAGCTATGAAGGACTAAACACAGCGGCCACACAACAAGAACACATGTCCTTGTGCTGTTCTACCACAGCAGGAGGCTTCTGTTTCTCAGCAAATGCGTTCTTTGAATAATGAATTTGGAAGGAAATGAAATATTTAAAGAGGACTTTAAAAGTCAGCCAGACCATTAGTGAGAGTTACATTTACTTTGTGAGTCAACCTATTTTTAGTCGATGTTCTGTAACTTACCGTATCCCACTTGGCATTCATTTTCTCCTTTTCAAATTTAGCAAATTCCCTCCTGTCGTGGATTATCATTAAAAGCTTCCAAATCAGCAGCAAGGCCAAGCCAATAAGAACAATCCCAGCAACCACACCAGCTACAATTGGAATGATGTCTGGACCAGTAGGACAGTCTAGAAAATAAAAAGGCTAATCATTGAGCATGAAAAGTTCAAACACAACCACAAAGAGTTGGGCAGGATCTTAAGACTCAAGTGATACACACTATCCGAAAAAGTGAGTTTGCAAGACTGCAGGACATGATTAGTAAGAAGTCATTTATTTTGGGGGGTGTCTTTATTCCTAAAGATTGAAAAAATTTAAAAACGTAACAGTATCCAGGGGCTGGAGAGATGGCTCAGAGGTTAAGAACACTGACTGTTCTTGCAGAAGACCTGTGTTCGAATCCCAGCATCCACATGGCAGCTAATAACTATCTGTAACTCCAGCCTCTTCTGTCCTCCATGGGCACTGCATGACATGGGTGCACTTACCTACATGCAGGCGACACATACATACACATAAAATGAAAATAATAAATTAAAAAAAAAAAAAACCAACAATGTCCAAAAATAACCGAAAACAAGCCTGGCATTGTGACACACCCCTTTAATTTCAGCACTTGGGAGATAGAGGCAGGTGGATCTCTGTAAGACGAAGGCCAGCCTGGTACATAGAGTTCCACGACAGCTGGGGCTGCAGGGATCTCTCTCTCTCTCTCTCTCTCTCTCTTTCTCACACACACACACACACACACACACACAAGCCAAAAGCTTGTAAATAAAAATGGTGCACGCCTTTAATCCCAGCACTCGGGAGGCAGAGGCAGGCAGATCTTGTCTCAAAAAGACCAAAAAAAGAGTTCATTGTAAGTTACTAATGATAAAAAACATCAAAGATGATTGATCCCAGCACTTAGGTTGGCAGAGGCTAGAAGATTGTCATAAATTCAAGACCAGCCTGATTGACCTATGTAGCAAGTTCCAGGCCAGCCAAAAGCTACATGGCAAGACTGTCTCAAAAATCAAAACAGTAATTCAGAGAGAGAGAGAGAGAGAGAGAGAGAGAGAGAGAGAGAGAGAGAAAGAAGAGGAAGAGGAAGAAGGGGAGGAGAGGGAGGAGGAAAGGGAGGAGGGGGAGAAGGAGAAAGAAGAGGACTAGACTAAATGTTGAGATACAGCATGTTCATGAATTAGAAGACAGCACTGTGGGCAAGATGGCTCTTTAAATTAAGGTGCTTGCTGCCAAGCTTGATCACCTGAGTTTGATTCCTGGGACTCACATGGTGGAAGGAGAGAACTGACTCCAGCAAGAGGTCCCCTGAGCTCTACACTTAGGCTGTGTAACATGGAGCCCCCCCCCCGACAAAAACAAAATAAAAGGAAAAAGACAAGAAGAAAGAACCTTTAAGACATCATTTCTCCCCAACTTAATCTGTAACTGGCACAGGATGAGTCAAGGTCTTATCAGGACTGCTACAGATATCAGTAAGCCCCTACCTATCACAAGACCCTGGGTTCACCAACACAACAAAAACAGCAACAACACCTACAAGGCACACGGAGAGTTCTCATTGTAACAAAATGCTTGAGCAGTTAAGATTTAATCTGATTGAAAGTCAATGGATACACATTTATCAAAATACCACGTTTTACTTAGTATGTATAATTTTGTGGTTTTTTTTTTTTTCTTTTTGAGACAGGGTCTCCCTGTAGCCCCAGCTGTCCTGGAACTCACTATGTAGACTAGGCTGGCCTTGAACTCACAGAGATCTGCCTGCCTCTGCCTCCCAAGTGCTGGGACTACAGGCGTGCACCACCACGCCTGGCTAATTTTGTGCTTTTTATGTCAGGTAAGAAATTAAATGAAAAGGGGCTAGAGGTGGCTCAGTGATTAGGAGCACTGACTGTTCTTGCAGAAGACCTGGGGTCGAATCCTAGCACCCATATGGCAACAAAGAACTATCTGTAACTCTAGTTCCAGGGATTTAATGCCCTCTTCTGTCCTCTGCAAGCACTGTGTGACACAGGTGCACTTACGCATGTAGGCAATATACTCATACACATAAAATAAAAATAATTTAAAAGATTTTTTTAAAAAATAAATTAAGTGAAAAATGGCAAGTAATAAAGTTCTAAGAGAGTGTAGCTGGCTAAAAGATGCACACAGATTAATGGGACAGAACAGTGAGAAACTAGGAGTCTCACATGGTCACCTGATTTTTCAACTAAAGTGGGAAAGGGACAGTTCAACAGATGACACTGAAACTACTGGACAATCATACACAAAAACTGAAATGTACTCCATAAACTCAGATTAAATCAAAGTGAGTTACAGGTCTAAATATAAACAAAGCTTAAGGAAGAAATCATAGGAGAGAAATCTTTATTCTATTTGGTTATAAGAGTTCTTAAGACAATAGTAAAGGGAAAATCATAAAAGACAACATGAGTCAAACTGTACTTGAAAATTCAATCTTCTGGGGATAGGGGTGGCTCAATGGTAAAGAACACACCCAGAATGCCCAAGGATCGGTTCATACTATACTTGAGCACCAGGAAAGAAAAAAATAAAAGATCCTTGTGTTCATACACTGCTAAGAAAGTGAAAAGACACAGAAACACAGGCTAGGACACTATTCAGAGCTCCTACTTGATGATGCAGAACAGTACGGAGTTTCTTAAAGATGTGTAGGGCCAGCAAGCTGGCTCAGTGGCTAATGGTACTTGCTGACAAGATTAATGACCTGTCTTTGATCCCCAGGACCCACATGGAGGAAGAAGAGAAAAAACTCCATAAAGTTGTCCTCTGACATATATACATATTCAGGCATACAGAAAACAAATAATAAATGCAAATCCATTTCTTTAATAAATAAAAATTGGGCAGTTTTCTGTTTTGTTAGATGCTTTACCCCATGCTCCACACAAAAAAATCTGTGTACTACTGTGGGAATGACAGAGAATCCAGAAAAAGCTACTGGAAAAGCCAGGTAAAAAGTGCTTACTTTCCACGAGGCATGGTGGTGCACACCTTCAGTCCTAGCACTTGGGAGGCAGAGGCAGGTGGATCTCTGTGAGAGCGAGTGCTTACTTTCTCATCATTTCCCAACAAATTCTCTTCCCAGCACCCAAGACTAAACCAAGCTCAGATGTCAATACCATCAACAATCACATCACTTCTAAGGGCAGAACTGTTCCACTTGGGAACATTCTGATTTCTCTCTTCCTTGTTTTGTATATAGTTAGCCAAATACTATATTAAGCTCAGACGAAAAATTTCCCAACATGAACCTACAATAGTAAGAGCCCAAGACTGTCTCCAGTAGGAGAGACCTGACAGTAATCCTGAACACAGAAACAAGGTCTACAAGAGACAAGGCCTGCCATTCCCCGCCAGCTACCTGGAGTCTCCACAACATGAACAATGGCTTCGTTGTTCCCATTCACCGAGTAGGTAAAGTAGAACCAGCAGTCATCCACGTCCTTCTCCTTGCAGTGGGTCACGGGATCAACCTGCACTGGCTGGGGCAACTTATCCCGGCTTTCGACCTTGGTGAGGTTGAAGTGTGAGCATTCCTGAGCACAGGTGTCCTTTTTTTCTCCTTTATTGAAGGCTCTGCACTGAACACATTCTCTGTTAAAACAGAAATTGGTATTGTTACACTAAAAATCTATCACTTAAGATGAATTTTGCTTATAGAGTTTAGTGTGCTACAGTAATGGCCAATGACAACAGAAGAGGACCACAGCAACCAGGAGGCAGTATGTTCAGCAAGAAAATGCTAGTTTCCATCAACCATAGCCAAACTACTGTCACTAAGCCAGCACCACTATGGCTGGCAGAGCTGGAGCTGAAGGGGAAGGGGCAAGGGAAGGCCACCCTGGACAAACTCTACTGGTGGCAAGGAACTCAGGAAGCCCCTGGCTATGGAAGCTGCTCCCGTACCTTCCACTGGGGGAGCAGAGTGCCTGAGGGTCTTGGTGACACTGGACCTTATCAAGAGCTTACTGAACTTCTGATTCACAAACCTTACTTCCCAGTCTGGTGTGGGAAGTTGTTCAAGATTTCACTACAGACTTGCCTTCCACAGCACAGCTACTGGTCTTATGCAGGATGTAAGAGAGGCCTATATCCTTTTAAGAAACACCAACGTATGTGCTGTTCATGCCAAATCTGGAACAGATATGTCTAAGACCTCCTGCTAGCACACTGCAGACCTATGGGATGTGCTTGAGAATTCACTCTGATTCAGTCCTAGCACTAGCAGGCTGAGGCAGGAGGATCTCAAGTTCAAAGCCAGCTTAGGCTATAGCAAGACCCAGTCTCAAAGACAAAACAAGCATGGAAAAAGAAACCACTACACTAGGAAGCATTTCATTATCAGAAAATCCAAAAGGTGTTCTCTTCTTGCTGTTACTGGTCATTCTGATGTTGGGTTTCCCCATGAGACCAAAAGACCACAGTGTATAATTGGGATAGGAACATGGAGCAGAAATCAGCTATCAGCAGGACTCTGTTCTCAGCTGTGTGTGAATTTTATAGATGCAGAGATATGAAGCATTAATGGAGCTGGAGAGATGGCTCAGCAGTTAAGAGCACTGGCTGCTCTTGCAGAGGACCTGGGTTCTATTCTCAGCACCCACATGGCAGCTAACAACTGCCTCTAACTTTAGTTCCAGAGGAATCCAACACCCTCTTCTGACCTCCATGGGCACTGTATGACACAGGTGTACTTACACACATGCAGGCAATACATTCATACATATAAAATAAAAATAAAGCATTAATACAAGTCAATATATCAGTGAACAAATTTTAGCAGTGCAATTTTGTAATAATTCTAAGTAAACCTGATAAATTTTCCTAGTTGACACTAACATTTGGGGTTTTTTTCACAAGTTAATTTCTCATTGATAGTATAAAAAATGATAGTCTCTAACTAGACATGGTAGCATACACCTTTAATTCCAGCATTCAGGAGGCAGAGGCAGGTTGATCTCTGAGTTCAGGGCCAGCCTGGTTTACACAGCAAGTTCTAGGCCAGCTGGGGCTATTAGGAGACCCTGTCTCAAAAAAAAAAAAAAAAAAGAAAGAAAAGAAATTATAGCTTTATTAGACTTCTAATTAAAATCACAATAAAGGTGGGGCTGCAAAGATGGCTCAGTTGGTAAAATGTATGCTTCACAAACATGAGGACCTGAGTTTGGATCCCTAGAACTCATGTAAAAAAATAGGCATGAGGGCCCATGTTTGTCAGCTTAGCCCTGAGGAGGTAGACAGGTGGATTCTTAGAGCTTGTTGGCCAGCCAGCCTAGCCTACTTGTTGAAGTACCAGGTTAGAGACTCTTTCACAAAGGTGGAAGGCTTCTGAAACAACACCATGCACACGTGCATCTATGTGTTCATGTGTGCATGTCCCCCAACACAAAACTTAAAAAATAAAATGAAGGCTAAAAAAAATCCCCCAAAACAAAAAACTAGCCCTATATCTCAAATATATAACACAAGTCCTAATAATTTAAACAATGTAACTATTGGTAATCATAATTTACCAAGGGGAAAGCCTTCAATTCCATTAAGGGAAAATTAGCCACTGGACTAGGGTGTATCTCAGTGGTAGAGCACAGAGCTCTATCCCTAGCATCAAAGTTAAAAAAAAAAAAAAAAAAAAAAAAAAGATGGTAAAGCCAATTCAAACTAGGTAACAATGAAGATTCATCATACAGTGATTTCAGATAAAACGCCAGTACAGTTCTCATGACATACTTCAGTGCCAGTAATACACACTCGCTATTAAGAAATGAAAAGCAAACTTCTTTGCAGCACTGTTCTTATAGTGTATGTATCAGCACTTCCACTGGCTCTAGTGGTATGACAGCAGATGCTGGGGTTAGCAGGGTGAGTGGTGACTATTCAAGCAGCTAGGAGATACTTACTTATGCTCAGCACAGACCCCAAGGCAGGTCTGACACGTCTCACAGGTTGGCCCTTGAAACTTGGGATCTGTACACTTACAAACGCCACACTCGCAGATGCCCCGGCCATTGCAGATCTGGCCATTTGATGCTATGCATGGAGTAGTGTCCAGAGAACAGTCGCATGCACTGCCAGTGTAATTGGGAAAACATTCACACACACGACACCTGCAGATACCATTTCCTGCAATGAAAAACACCTTCTCAAAATAATGTTAAAATACATCATCGTGGCAAAAACTCTCAAGCAAAAACAAGCCACAACAAAGATGAAAGTGGATCTAAGGGAAACTGCCTGCCCTTTGCTACTTGTTCGCCAAGCAGGCCTTCAGATGTCTCAGCCCGTCAGGGCTAACGCAGCATCACTACTTTCTGTGCTTGGCTCACCTCCACAAATTAAGCCGTTGGATCTATCACAGTTGAAATTATCACACTCGCAGAATTTGCCAGAGTAAATCTCATTTGTATTATCTCTCTTCCTACAAACACACTGTCCGCAGACACACTCTCCATTGTTGCTACATATTTCTGAGCTGTTTTCCTTCCTGCAGTAAGCATCCATGTCTTCACTGTTCACTTCGTCCGTGCTGCACTCACAGTGCCTCCCAACACGCCCTTCATTACACCTGCAGAAAGACTCCAAATTATAATCACATAAAACAGAAACAACATAACCATCTCTTAGCACCACCAGCCTATCAGGTGGGGACACTGGTGCCTCACAGGCAGCTATGTTGAGACCGCACGTCATGCAGACACACTGGCAGGCAGCCACTCAGGTTCTTAGAGAACATGCAGTAGTCTGGGGAAACTCATCATCAGAAAGGAGCCATTCTGTTCAAAATGAAAAATACTCCACTAATGTGCAAATAAGCATCTAAAAAAACAGAATAAACTCATTTTTAAGAAGAATAAGATATATTCTTAAATGATATGCTATTATTTTACTGTTACTGGCTAACTACTTCTAAGTTTCAAGCAAGGGTCCAACTGTTAACATGGAAAGGCACAACGAATGTACCCCAAAAGTTCAAAAGCCATAGAGTATACAAATTGAAAAGATGACTAGCACTATCTAAAAGTAAATGTACTTCACAGGTCTAGACTTTGACCCCTCCACATATTCTGGAACACTAGTGTCCATGGACACTGGATAAAATGAATCAGCATAAGATAAGCAAAAAGAAAGCAAAGAATTTCCCAGAAAATCTTTCTGTTGTAATGACATTACTAAAATAGATCTTCCTCACTCAAACAAGATATATACAACTCAGAAAAACATAATATCAAATTATTATTTGAAACAAGCAATTAAAAATTGATGATGAACTACGGCTGTTTATTTTTCCTTGGCCAGTGATACTAAACAGTCATGTGGGACTGACATTTAGGTTAAAATGTTCTATTATTTTAAAGAAAAAATTGTGTTCAGAACACATCCAATTCTAAATTTTTGTTTAAAAAGTAGCCAAGGGGCCCAGTGAGATAGTTCTGTGACTAAAGGCACTTGCCACCAAGCTTGACGACCTAAGGTCAATCCCCAGGACCCACATGATAGGAGAGAACCAACCACACAGTTGTCCTCACTTCTACATGTCTCACATGTACATGTGTATACATATAAATAAAATTTAAAGTAGGTAGGATATACAAATATTTTAAAATAATTTTAGTAGTGTTCACATCCTGAAAAAGTTTACTTTTTATTCCAACAATACAAAATTAAAGTAATAGAAGGTAAACACTGCTACTGTTTGCTAACTCTAAATCACAGATACAGCTGCCATCTAACTCTGAGCGTGTGGCCTACACACAGTAAGGGAGGGAGTCATGGATCTGAGGTCAGCTTAGGTACATAACAAGACCCTTTACTCAAAGGAAAACAAAAGAAGTGAAATTAAAAACCCACCATTATCAGTTTGGTATTTTTCCCTATAAATGTATCTTAAGACGTTTTGTTTTGCTCCAGAGAACTGGGAATGCCCCCGCAAGGGGCGCAAAGGCCACTTTATGGAAGTAAGGCATGCTACCCGCCTGGCTGTAAAAGCCTCTAGGAGGAGTAATGAGCAGTTATTCTTAAGAATAGGAAAAAGAGTAAGGATTGGGGAAAGGAGTCTGTATGTAACCAAAATACATGGTATAAAACTTTCAAAGGAGTAATAAAAAAAAAAAAAAAAAAAAAAAAAAAAAAAAAAAAAAAAAGTGTGTAAGACCCTGAAATTGAGCTTTTGAGCAATAGTTGGAATAGATGATGTTTGTTCTAAACAAATGTTCTCTATGATTTACCAAACACAGTAACTTTGCTGCACTGCAGCCCCCTCACTCACCCTCAAGGCCCCCACACTCACCCCCAGACCCCTCACTCACTCTCAGACCCCTTACTCACTCCTAGGCACTTACACTCACCCACAGGCCCTGCGCTCACCTGCAGGCCCCACACTCAAATGTCCCATTCCCCTCGTGGCACTGGGGGCTTTCCGGGATGCCTCTGCTCTGGCAGTCACACTCACAGATGAACTTAAGAATGACCTCAACTTCTTCATTGAAGCCCAGAGGCTTAATTTTAATGGTGGTTTCAGAATCCTTATTTGGGCATTTATTTGCAGTTATGCTAATTTCAAATTGAACCTTGAAAGGGAAAAGTTAGATTAACAATTTAGCAAGGAATATAAAAGTATTCAAAAGCTACTCATGTCTCTTAATGTTTCTTAGAAACTAAATTTGCTTATAATTAAGTGATTTTTCTTTTCTACAGAAAATGCTCATACAACAAACCTCATCACCGATGGAAATGTTGGAGCACTTCCGCCCATTTTCTCCAGTTCCATTCACCCCATTCTTGCAGTAGGATTTGTAGCTTATTGTTACTCCTTCTGGCAATTTGCTGTTTTCCAGAATGACTTCTGAAGAAAGGGACTAAAAGAAAGACCAGTCATGAAGAGGGAAGACAAACAAAATACTACTTGAATACATAAAACCAATGGATAAAAAAAAAGGTCATGATAAAAACTATCATTTCAGTACAACTCACTCCAACTACGTGACTAGAAAATTCACAAAGACTCTGGTCCAATCTTCAAAATAACATATACAATGGAAGAGTGTTTCTTAATATTTTATTATTATTTTTATTTCATGTGTATGAATGTATTGCCTGCACATGTGTAAGTGCACCGTGTCATACAATGGCCATGGAGGTAAAGTGTTGAATTCCCTTGGAAATGGAGTTATGGATGGTTGTTAGCCCCCAAGTGAGTGCTGAGAATCAAACCCAGGTACTCCGCAGAGCAATCTCTCCAGCCCTCAAGTGTTTCTTTTTTATTATTCAGCTAAAATGCTAATAATCATAAAAACCAGAGGCCTGACAGATCATAAGGAGTCCTAAGGATGTGGAAGATGCTTGCCCTCCCCACTGTTACCAGGCTGTCCTCTGGCCTGCCCTCTTCCAGAGTAGCTGGAACTAACAACTCTGCAGGCTAAGGACACAGGACCACTGCAGTCTTGCTTGCCCCTTCAATATCCCTATAGGCCCTAAAGAACTGGGATGCGCTCAGTGGTACCACACTTGCCTAGCAGTCATGAGGTCCCAGGGTCAGTTCTCAACACTGCCAAAATATAAAAAAATAAAAGGATAGCCTAAGAGGAAGGATTCAAATCAGTGCTTATTGAAAATGCCAGACACCTCAGGACAGATGAAGGCGTTATAGTGACAAGCACTTGTCATTCACACCCTATAAGGACAGAACTGAGGAAAACAATCTGTTCAGACAGACAGGGTTGCTGGACACTAGTACTGGGAGGCACACGTAGGAAGACCTGTTTGAGTTCAAGGCCAGGCTGGTCTACACTGACAGTTCCAAGCCCACAGGGTTACAGAGTCAGACTCTGTCAAAAAAAAAAAAAAAAAAAAAAAAAGCAGCCCCGGTACAGATAACAACTAAACAACTAGAATCTTGGAGCCTTTGTCAAACGATTCTGAGACAAGAGCTCTCCAAAACATCTGGAGACTCTCAAGCATGTAAAATAAAGATCAAAGTCAAACATGATATAGCAATGTAATCTCCAGCACTTGGGAAGAGGAAGCAGGAGGATGAGAAGTTCAAATCCTTGAACTACTGTGAGTTCAAGGCCAGACTGGGCTACATGAGATAACTGTCTAAAAAATTTTTTTTAAATTCAGGGCTGGCAAGATGGCTCAACCCAACAACCTAAGCTTGATTCCCCAGAGCCATGGTGGAAAGAGAGAACCGACTCCTACAAGTTGTCCTCTGACCTCCACATGTACACCATGGCCTGAGCACACACACAATCTACCAAAGGGTCAAAGGGTTGGGGGTAAAGGAAAGTGGTGTACAGAATGTTTAAACAGTCACCATGAAACTGCAAATGCCTTCAGCTTATTTAAAATAATCTCTGGCCAGTGCTTACTGGCAGTCACTAGAGGCATTCTGAATGAGGCTCCTACATGGGAAGAAAATGCTGCTTCATGTTCCACTCCCATATGGCATGCCATGTGCATGAGTGTGCACACACCACTGAGAACAGGAAGAGCACATCCTCTGACATCTATCAAAAGAGAAGCCAAAAATACTTCCAGGCATAATCCATCAAGACAGGTCAATCTATGAAGGGTACCAGAGGGAAAAAGATTGAAAGAGCTGTAGAACTCTAAATGTAAGTTACATTTCACTCTTGCTCCAACAAGGAGAGATGACAATGACATACAAATGATCAGAAATTATCCATATGCCTCTAAATTTATTATGACTTTACTTAGGTTATATTTTATAAGACAATATAAGGTTTTCCCTCTAGACATGCAATTTCAGCTCTGTGCTATCCTCTTGGCTTGCTGAAGTGTATGAGGACTTACATTGTACGCGTCGATGATCAACTGGATGACATTACTAGAGTTTGCAGAGAGGGTGCCCACTGCTGACTTAGGAATCAGATTTTTCAATTCCTGCAATTAAACAATGTATCTAATGTAAGCCACAAATATTATTTATTTATTTAACCACTCAGAATCCACTGTAAAGGAACACTTATTTTGAAAGCTAAGTTTGCTCTATTCATTTCCTAAGTAACTTTAAAAGTCAAACCTGAAAAGAACAACAGTTCTAGGCGGGCATGGTGGCAAACGTCTTTAATCCCAGTACTCGGGAGGCAGGCGAGGATCCTCTGTGAGCTCAAGGCCAGCATGGTCTACATAGTGAGTTCCAGGCAGCTGGAGCTACAGGGAAACCCTGTCTCAAAAAGACAAAAAAAAAAAAAAAAAAAAAAAAAAAAAGAAAAGAAAAAGACAACAGTTCTAACAATAAGTGATTAAAATGAACATAAATAACTTTTGTAAAATTCAGTCTGGCTACCCAGCATTTTCCTACATCTCAATTCAGAAATAATTCTGCCACTAAGGAATAAACGATAAAAAATATTTAGAACTTTATTCTTTTTACTTCACATATACTCACCTTGTAAACAGGCTGAAATTCCTCAGTGACTGCAAAAATAGTTTGAATGTTATTTTCACTCAGTTTCTGGACAAGGTGAGCAATGGAGGGGTAATCCTAGGAAATCAAGTACAGTTTAGTACATGAATACACTGTATAATCAGTCACAGGGTTTTGTTTTGTCCTCACTCTGTAGCTCAGGCTAAACTCCCAATTGCTAGGATTTCAGTTATTTGATTTGCATACGTTAACAGATCACATACACAAGCCTGCTCTCAGGTAAGAATATCCAATGCAAATCACTGGTGACCCGAGCCATGTGCATTTGAGTTTCTCTCTACTTTTATGTATGTCTAAGAATTTCCAAATTAAAAAGATTTTAAGGGGCTGTAGAGATGGCTCAGTGGTTAAGAGCACTGGCTGCTCTTGCAGAGGACCCCAGTTCAAATCCCACCACCCACATGGTGGCTAATAACTATCTGTAACTCCAGTTCTAGGGGAATCCAACACCCTCTTCTGACTTCCACCAGCACTGTAAGACAGGGGTGCATTTACATACATGCAGCAATACTCTCATACACATAAAATAATAAAATATTTTAAATGTTTTAAAAGTAAGATAATCTATGTAACACTAAATGTGAGGAGAGTGAAATTGGGAAACTAACAACTAGAGGCTTTGTTATCTAACACTTAAGGCCAAGATTCACCAGCACTGGACTTCTATACCATGAGTTATTTGCCAAAATTTATTTCAACAAAAGTTAGAGTACCTATCTTTTAAAGTCATATACGTAAGATATAGAGAACAAGTCTAGTTAAATTGTGCATTTAGAAATATCACAGAGTTGTTGCCAAATGACATATGCAAACAAGGACCAGTTGGGTCTCGACACCTCTGTCACCCAGAGACAGCAGTATCATGCCAGAGCCTCCCAAACAGCTACATAGCTCTCCTAGACTAGGGGAGGGCCCACACTTCCCAAAATAAGAAAGCTGCAAGCCCAATCACCCACAACATGCTAAGTGTTACACATCAAAACCCACCTGAACCGGTTCACTAGGGGAGGACTTAAGCACTTACGTAGTAATGGCTCATTGTGTACATGTTATCTTCCAGGTGACATTGTCCATCATTGGGTAAAACAATGCCACCAAGTTTCCCATCTCCAGCAAAGTGAAACCCAGCATCAGTGGAAAACACCAGCAGCCGTGTTACATTTCTCCAGCCAATCAGTGACTTCAAAAGAAAAAGAGGTCAACTGTGAAACACTACTCATAGTAACTCCACATAAATCCTTCCAGAGTCACACAAGCTACAGTGCATTTTTAATGTAATTCCTTATCTTCATCTCTTCTTGTCCCAGTGCTAGTGCTGGTAATCAGTGCAGAGAGCCCACAGGTGACACTCCTCTACAGTGTACAGCTGCCTCTTGCTGACTGTCCATAAGGACATTCATCCCTCAGCTCAGAGCCTGGTTTTTAGTGGATATTTAGTGAATATTTGCACTACACCCCCAATTACCCACTACTGGGTCCTGTTCCCCTCCATCCTGCCCTGCCCTGATGCTGTCTATATACCTCCTTTATCAGTCTCTCTTTATGTTAGGCTTTCCTTTACTTGTTTGTGCTGTTGAAAAATGGTCTTAATATAGCTCAGGCCTCAAACTCACTATTTAGCTGAGAATGGCTTTGAACTCTTGATCCTCCTGCCTCTACCTCCCAAGTGCTGAGATATATAGACATGTGCCACCATGCCTAGCTTCCTTTTCTTATTGTAGGGGAAGCTGTCAAAAGAATTTGCCCTGCTTTAAATCCATTCATTCTAAGCCATAAACTCAGTTCATTTGTATACTATCCTGTTCAACAAAGAACTTAAAAGAAGCAGTAAAATCCTCCTTGAAGGCAGAAATCAAGTTTCTCCACGCTAACCATTTTTCAAAGTCAGGTTATCTGTTCCTTTGCCTCTAAAGTATGACATTCAGAAAGACAACCACAGCCAGAGGCTATGGTAAGTTTGATCCCACTGAGCCCATAAGGTGCTCTCCACAGTGAATACGAGGAAAAACAAGCTAAAAAGTACTGAAGGCTGAGGTTAGTGACTACCTGGTATACCATTCTTTCTTCAGCTTTAAAAGCTAAGGTTAGCTGGGCATAGTGGCACACACCTTTAGTCCCAGCACTTGGGAGGCAGAGGCAGGTGGATCTCTGTGAATTCAAGGCCATCCTGTTCTACATAGTGAGTTACAGGCCAGGTGGGGATACAGAAGACCTTGTCTCAAAAAGACAAAAAAAAAAGTTAAGGTAAAATCACAAACACTTCCTGACAAGTCAAAAGTGAGGGCAGCAGTCAGTAAGTGCTGAGTTTACTGGTCCCTCATAGAGATCACTGGCCTGGAACTTCACCACTGCCCTGTGAGTTGGCTGCTATTAGCCATTCCAAAAAACACAGCTCTGGAGAGGCCAAGTGAACTACCTAGGATTAGAGAGGATGGGAAAATTCATATCCACAACCCTACCTCATTGCTTTACTTACTATCCAGGATATCAGCATAGGGAACAGTAGGTACTCCTGATAAACTTTATTTGACCTTACAATGTCTTCTACTTTCAGCCTCAGATGTATCATTAAAAGATCATCAAGGAGCTGGAGTAGTGGTACACGCCTATAATTCTAGTCCTCAGGAGGTAGAGGCAGGACGATCTCTACATGTTCAAGGATACCCTAGGCCACACAGAAAAACCATATCTAAAAAAAAACCCACTCTCCCCCCACCCAAAAAATATCAAAAATACCAGTTGAGCTGAGTGCACACCTTCAACCATGGCACTCAAGAAGCAGAAGCAGGTGTATTTTTGTGAGATCCAGACCAGCTGGGGTACAAGGAGACCCTGTCTCAAAAACATATATATACAGATATACCAGTTGGTATATTAAACACTAGTCCTTGGTTCAACAAAACTAAATTGCTATCCCTGAAAACCTTAAAATTAAACCACAATAATTACTCCTCAAAGTACATGTCATCTGGTCTACATGGCAAGTTCTAGGCCAGCTGGGGCTACAGGGAGACCTTGTCTCAAAAAGACAAAAAAAAAAAAGACTGACAACTGTACCTCTGGGGTAATCTGATAATACTGTATCTATGGCCATTTTTTTCTACTAACTTTAATAAAAATGCACTTAAAATTCCCACAGACAAACAATCCGTGTAGAAAATCACTTACTCCACAAACTGCAACCTGCATGATTGCATCAAAACCACCTTCTGGAGAATCCAAGTTTCCAGATATGCGCTGTTTACCAACAAGTTCATTGAAATAATCTCCTCTCGCAGTAAGATTGAGCACATTTTTGTAGCTGAATGGGCTGGTGCAGTTTTGCTCACTCGTACAAGGGTTCCTGAGCTTTGCTGGGGTTGTACTAATGTATGGCATCACAGTTTTCTCCACAAAGGAGCCAAATCCTGGAAGACAAAATGCACTTGGAGATGACAGATACAAGCCACAGCAGATGTGGTAGTCAGAGGACAACTTGTAGGAGTCAGTTTCACTCCTTCTACTATGTGGGTCCTGGGGATCAAACTTAGGTCATTAGGCTTGGCGACTTGACTAGCACCCTGACCTGGTGAGTCACTGAGCCAGACCTAAAAGTACCTCTTTAAAAGCCTACTTTGGGCCTAGAGAGATTACTAAGTGGATTACTAAGTGGATTACTAAGTGGATAAGATCTCTTGCTGTGCAAATATGACAATCGGAGTTCAGATCCGATTTATAGGTTACCAGTCTAGCTCCAGGTTCAGTGAGGGACCATGTCTCAAGGGAATGAGTAAGAAGTTTATATAAAGCAAGACACCCAACATCTTCCCCTGGCCCAGGCCTTCTGTGGCCTCCTCTGAACACATGAAGAAGCCCATTCACCCACACATACACATATACATTACAGTCACACACATACACATACACATATACACTAAAAGAAAAATATGAAAGATTCAAGTATGTCATGACATAAGTTGCTAAGGATGGAATGTCTGTGTTTCCCCAAAGTTCATGTTGAAAACTTCATCTCCACTGTGATGGTATTAGGAAAAGTTAGGTCTTGAGGGCTGAGTCTTTGTGCCTAGGACTAATGATTAATAACCTATAAAAGAGACTCAGAGAGCTGTCATCCTCTTTCCACACTGGGAGGACACAGCTAGAAGGCACAGAGCTACCTTGACCTCTAGTACTGTGAGAAATAAACTTCCATTGTGGTACTCAATTAATGGTGTTTTCTTAGAGCAGCCCAAATGGACTACTAAATTATCCACCTCTCTCTCTCTCTCTCTCTCTCTCTCTCACACACACACACACACACACACACAAAACTATACACATGCCTTTTTTGTCTAAGAGAGGGAACACAAGGTCTGGCTTATAGCCTAGGATGGCCTTGAACAAATACACTCTTCCTGCTCAGCCTCCTAACTGCAGGGATTGTAATCCCTGTATTAGGTATACAACAGATCCCTGTATTAGGTATACAACAGGAATATCTGTTTCCTTTCAGGAAGAAAGACTAAATACTGGTCCATTTAACTCAAAATTTTGTTATAAAGAACAAAGGAGGGGCTAAGGACGTGGCATAGTCAGTAAAGTGCCTACTGCATTGGCATTAGGACCTGAATTCAGATTCCCAGGACCCATGCAAAAAGCTGGGCTTGGTGGCACCTACTTATAATCCCAGCACTGGGAATGGAGAGACAGGCAGATCCCTAGGGCTCACTGGCTGCCAGTCTAGCCTAATGGGTGAACTCCAGGTACAGTGAGGGACCCTGTCTCAAAAACTGTGAAATACAACAGAGGAAAACACCCTATATCAACCTGTAGCCTACACATGCATGGACCCACACATACCCAAACACACACGCACGCACACACACACAGAAAAGGCTTTGAGTAGTACCAAGGCTTATAGAGATGAAAAGTGTTAATGTTCCCAGCGTTCCTACCAATTCGGAAGTCTGAAGTAATCGTCTCCATTTTGCGCATGAGATCCGTCCCTAGACTCTTCACATTCTCCAGATCATCCTTCATAGAATAGGAGAGGTCCATAAGGTAGTAGAGATCGATGGGATAGTCTTCAGCTCTCTTGAATTTTAATGTAAACTTCTGTGGCTCCCCTGAAGATTTAAAAATAAAATTAGCTGGTCAGCAATCAAATGCAAATGAGAAAAACAGTAATAAATAATAAATTAATTTACAGGGTAAACACTATAGTATCAAGTGTCAAGGACTTAAGGAAGCCAACATGGTAAAGACAACACTCCCAATCAGCAACAGACAGGACACAAATAATCAGTTCTGCTATAATCTGTATCTGCAATGTGTCCCAAAGACCCATGTGTTGGCACTACTGGGAGGGGGTAGGAAGTTTGAGAGGTAGGGACTGACAGATTTGGGGTTACTGCTGATATACCCTGGAGGGAGTCTGGGGGACTGATCTCCTCCTCACCAAGTACCACCTCCCAGCTGTGAGGTGCACAATTAATTGCTCTCACCATGACATACCACCTCACCACAAGCCAAAACAACAGGGCCACTGATGCAAACTCCTAAAACTATGGGTCAAAATAAGCTTGTCCTTATAAATTATTTCCAGTAGTTGTCACCATAACAGAGAGCTGATTTACACAAATTTATAATTATGAGGAAAACAGAACATCATAAATTTTGGCAGAATAAAGGCAGGGCACACTACAGAGTTCATCAGACAGGGAATAATTTAAGTTATAAGTGAGCTGTTCTCGGGTATAGCAAGATACTACTACATGTAGGTGAATAAGAATTTGGCTTTCCTTTGGAGATCTGCAAAAATAAATTATACAGGCAAAGAGATTAGTTTAAAAGCTACAGAAAAATCAATAGCAGGAGATGAAGCTCTGAACTAAAATGAGGAAAGTTAAGTGGTGGATGCTATAGACTGTTCACTTAGAAAGCCTAGGGGACGGAATGCAACCTAGGGAATGGGATGCAGCCTAGGGGGTGGGATGCAGCGTAGGGGATGGGATGCAGCCTAGTGGCGGAACCCTTGCCCAGCATCATCACTCAGTAATTCTGAGTGCTATCTCTAGTACCACAAAACAAACACTCAGAAAACACAGGAGAAAAATGAAGGTATGGGTGGAAAACTATTCATGTATAAGGTACAGATTTTTCTACTTGGACTTCTGACAAGCAGATGAAGGAATGGGTACAGAGCTAAACTGAAAGCCTGTGTCGGTACAGCTTATCAAGTTTTCGGTGGTCTCAGGGGAAAACCAGTTCTTAAGTGAAATGCAGAGAGGGATGAGAAAAGAAAACACAAAAATGAAACAAAGCACAGGCTTTGATGAGAACCCCTAGGAGTGGCTTCCTGAGTTCTCTGAGAGTCTCTCTTACCCCTTGGTGTAGAGAGGTTTTAAAAAAATGATGGTGATGAAAACAAAATAGACTTTGTCAGTACATAAAGGAATGGCAGCTTCAAGGTGACAGCAGTGTTCTGCTAGACAGGTGCAGAAGTAAAGGCCTGTACTGGGTACTCCTTCCTTGCTGTGATATAATACCTGACAGCAGAAGCAACTTACAAGAGGAAGGGCTTATTTTGGCTCACACTTTCAGGGAGGCCATGACAGCTGGTCCAGGCCTTTCCTTAGCAGCAGGATTATGAGGTAACAGCTCTCCACATCTTGGCAGACCAGGAAGCCAAAGCTATGCAGGAACAGGCCATAACCTGCAAAGGCTCATCCCCAGTGATAGACTTCCTCCAATCAAGCTCTACCAAGTAAGGGTTCCACAACCTCCCCAAACACAGCCATGAGCAGGAGTTCACATCATTAGGATCATACACATGAGCCTGTGAGTGACACTTCACATTCAAACCATAGCAATGCCTGACTTCCCTCAGTCAGGCAGAGAATAAGGGGAGAAGTGTACCATCCTCCTGAGAGGATAGAAATGAGAGAGACAGAAAGAAGTGCTGATTTCCCATGAGACTGCCACAAATACTTCTAAGAACTTTAACGTTTAAATGGTACTGAAAAAATGAAGAGGTTAAAATTTGCTTTTGTATTAGGATATTATTAGCAGTGGATGGACACTATCATTTTTAAAACTAAGACTAATGCCCCCTGAATCTTTAACAGCCTTTGTTTCTGACATAAGGCAACATTTAATATTGAGAGTGTATGTGTTACACAAATTGCTATGTCTACAAAGAAATTCTAAAATTGAACCTAAGCCATATCTTCAGGTGCCAGTCCACCTCTGAAAATGACCCCAGAACAGAAAGTGTTTAAAGTCCTGTATGAAGTTGCTATAGAAAACAAGTGTGGATTGAGGTACCTGATCGAAGCTGCAAAACCAGCTGCTGTGGTTGGATCTGAGTGATGTCTTCAGGCTGGAGCTTCTCTGCCAGCCCTTTGGGGCGGTTGGTGACATTTTTATTTTTCTTTATATTTTTGGAGCCTCTGGGATTCTCAATGTCATTTGGGTGGCAACCTTTCTTTTTTAAGGCTTCTAAATCATCACATCGTGCAGAAGTTGGCATTCCTTCTTGTAGAAACGTCTAAATGATATACAGAACACTGGCATCAATAAAAAGTATAACACACTTTTATATGATTATAATTGCACTTAAATAAATTGCAAAAATCAAATGGCATCTAAGGAACTTCATTTCTAACTTTTAAACAGAATCCTCCTTTCATCCAAATCATGAGTGCTCTTTTTTTAATTTTAAAAATATTTTATTATCATTGCTTTCTTTAAGAAGTAGCATGATAACCAGATGTAGTGGTGCATGCCTTTAGTCCCAGCAGCACTCGGGAGGCAGAGGCAGGTGGATCTCTGTGAGTTCAGGGTGAGCCTACAGGTCTACACAGTAAGTTCCAGGCCAGCTGCGGCTGTCTCAAAAAGTCAAAAGAAAGAAAGAAAGAAAAGAAAAAGAAAAAAAAAAAGGAGGAAGAGGAGGAGGAAGAAGAAAAGGGGGAGGAAGAAACATGATTACAAAAATAAGCAAAACCAGCTCTGGGAAAGCAGTATCTTTCCGCAGACTATGTGCCCGTTTAAGTCCCACCTTCAGGTTCAGTGTCTAATCATTACCTACGTCCTTCAGTGAAATCATCTCTCAGCATGTTTAACGGCTTCTCAGCATAGATAAGCGCACACAGCATTTTTTTCTAAAACTTTCCCTTGGAAAAGGTCTTACAAGATGGTTCATATAATAGAGCACTCTTCCCAGTACAGCATTTTAAACAACTAAATGTTCAGGAAAAGCACATTAGCTTAAATATATCCTAATTAATAATGGTAATTATTAAAAAAGACAAGAAAACAAGAAATCTAGCACAGATTTAGTAGCTATTCCTGAAAGCTTGCAAAAATTTTAGTCCTGGCTAGTAAATAAGTTTTTTTACATTTTACCTTTTCTTTTGGTCTTTTGGAGACAGGGTCTCTCTGCAGCCCTAGCTGGCCTGGAACTCACTATATAGACCAGGCTGGCATTGAACTCACAGAGATCTGCCTGCCTCTGCTGCCCAAGTGCTGGAATTAAAAACGTGCACTATCACGCAATTTTAGTCCTGGCTAGTAAATAAGTTTTTTTACATTTTACCTTTTCTTTTGGTCTTTTGGAGACAGGGTCTCTCTGCAGCCCTAGCTGGCCTGGAACTCACTATATAGACCAGGCTGGCATTGAACTCACAGAGATCTGCTTGCCTCTGCCTCCCGGGTGCTGGGATTAAAGGCGTGCAACCACCACACCTGGCTACCTCAAACTTTTCATAGTGTCTACTGTGCAAGCATGAGAACTTCTGTTCAGATCACTAGCACCAAGGTAAAAGCAGACGTGGACGTGTATGTGTGTAACTTCAGTTCCCAGTGCTGGGAACAGAGATAGTGGGTCCTGGGGGCTCAGTGGATGGCCAAACCAACTGAAACACCAAGTTTCAGGTTCAGTAATAGATAGATAAGACTGTCACAAAAAAGGTAGAGAGAAACAGGAAGATATTCTGTCATCAACCTCTGGCCTATACACTCATACTCACACATGAATATACACACATACACAATAAAAGAATAACATACAATGGGTGTGAAAGCATTTTTTTTTAGACAAATTTACCATAATGAGAGCATCAATACCATTACAAAAACAACTAGAGGAGAAGTCCCAGGGGCAGGTGGGTCAATACTGAGCTGCATTTATTTACTATCAAACTTCAAACAGTAACAAAGCACAAGATTCTAGTGAATTATACATTTCCAAGTATTAGCCAATCCAGGAACCCTCATAACACCCAAATAAAATCTCACTGAACATATTGCAGAGACCTTTAATAACTGTGGAATTATACCCCAAATCTCAGAAGCTGAAGGATTTAATTCTGGATAGGATCACCTTCAAGCACAGGTAAACTATGGCCCCATAAAATGGATACTGATGCCACATACTCAAAACCTTTGTAGTGGACCTGCGTTCTTAAACTCATCACTTCTAATGGAAGCAACTGGAAAGCAGGAGTTACGCGTCTCATTTTCCAGAGAAGAAAGTCAAGAGCTTCCGTTAAGCCTCACCTAAATGTCTCCAATTTCACCCCAGCATAGCATTTCTAGGGGGACAGTACCATTAGAAAAACTCTGAAATGGCCGAGTGCACATGCCTTTAATCCCAGCACTTGGGAGGCAGAGGCAGGCAGATCTCTGTGAATTTGAGGCCAGCCTGGTCTACACAGTGAGTTCCAGGTCAACTGGGACTATAGGGAGACCCTGTCTCAAGAAGACCAAAAAGAAAAAGGAAAAAAAACAAA